GCACCAGTCTGCATTCCTACCAGCAGTATATGAGGGTTCCTTTTTTTCCGCATCCTCTCCAGTACTTGTTACTTGTTGATTTGTTGATGACTGCAATTCTGACAGCTGTGAGGTGGTACCTCATTGTTGTTTTGATTTATATCTCTTGGATGATTAGTGACTTTTAGCATGTTTTCATATGTCTCTTGGATTCCTGAATGTCCTCTTTTGATCCTTTGCCCACTTTTTGATTGGGTTGTTTATCTTTCTTTTGTTAAGTTGTATGAGTTCCCTGTAAATTTTGGAGATTAAACCCTTATTGGAGATAACATTGGCAAATATGTTCTCCTATGTAGTGGGCTTTCTCCAACAAGACCTTTTAAACATGACCTTTAAGATCTTTAATAATAGAGAAGAGGAAACCCAAATCAAAAAACAAAGGCAAGATCAGGCCAAGGCTAAGGCCCATATGAAGGCCTTTCAACTCCTAGCCACCACTCTTATGAGCCCCCCAAAAAGTGCTGGATCTCCAACCAAGGGTAAGTTATGGGGTAAGCCTCCTCCAGGCCCATACTTCAAATGCAACAAGGAAGGACACTGGACCAAATCTTGGCCCAAACCTGAGACCTCTGCATAGGCCTTGCCCCAGGTGTGGAAGGGGAGGCCACTGGAAATCAGAATGTACTCTGGTCCCTCCAGGTCAGATCTCAGCAAGGCTGCCCTCTGGATCCAGTTTAGAGCTTTCAGACCTCTTGGGACTGGGCACCAAAGACTGGGAATAGGCTTCTGGATTGCTCCCCCTCACCTACCCCCACCCCCGCCAACCTTTTCTCCAGCCTCATATGCCTATACATAATTTTCCAAAGTCTTTGACAACTTAAAAACTTTGGAGCATTGGTTGGTTAAATGATAAACACCTAAATATTTCAATAAGTTTCAAGTTAACCTAATTTTAGCTTTTATTACAGAAAGTCTATAAAGTAAATTTATAACTGTTAATAATATGTCCTATACTTCATTAAAAATATATTAAAAGTGAGAATGTTCATAAATGTCAATCTAAGAAATGCTGACTGTTTGTAGGAGGAAATGTTAAAAGGAAGTTATATAAATGACACAGGCCAGTAAGCCAAAACAAGCAGAATAGGGAAACTGAAATAGTATAGGACATATCATTAACAGTTATAAATTTACTTTATAGACTTTCTATAATATGCTAATGACCTGGTCATTACCCATTACAGCATCCCACTCATTAGCATATTAACTCTTTATTAGTATAGATAGCCAAGATCTGGAAATAGCCCAAGTGTTCATCAGTAGATACAGGGATAAAAAAGCGGTGGTACACAATGGAATACTACTGTGCTATAAAAGGGAATCCACTTTTACACTTTGCAACATAATGGATGGACCTGGAGAATATCATGCTAACTGAAATAGTCCAGTCAGAGAATGTCAGGTACCATATGATTTCACTCATGTGAAATTTAATGAACAAACTGACTACCAAGCAAAATAGAGACAGACTCATACACAGAGAGCAGGCAGACAGCTGTGGTGGGGTGAGTTGCAAAGGTGGAGCAATTCAGCAAAATGGGTAGGGGGAATAACTCATGAGCTTGGACAACAGTGTGGTGATTGCAGGGGTGGAGGGGGTGGGTGAAGGTGGTAGATAGCCTAGAGGATAAAAGGTGATGCAAAAATTAATTTTTTAAAAAATTAATACATCATGATTAAGTAGGGTTTATCCCAGCAATGCAATTACCATTTCATGTGAAAATTACTCAATACAAATTCACATCCTATATAATAAAGAGGTGATATGCAAATTAACCCCCACCCTCACAAGATGGCTGCTTATGACCAGGCTGGCAGGGAGTTAGTAAGGGACAACCAAACGACTGAACAAGCAGGCTGCATTGGGTGACTAGGCTGGCAGGGGGGCAGTTGGGGGCAACCAGGCTTGTGGGGGGGTGCAGTTGGGGGCGACCAGGCCAATGGGGGGGAGGGGGCAGTAAGACGCGACCAAGCTGGTGTGGGGGGGGAGTTAGGGGCAACCAGGTGGGCATGCAGAGGCAGTGAGGGGTTATCAGACCTGTAGGGGGAGCAGTTAGGGGCGATCAAGCAGGCAGGCAGGTGAGTGATTAGGAGCCAGCAGTCCAGTATTGTGAGAGGGATTAAGCCTAAACTGGCATTTGTACATCCCCCAAGGGGTCCCGGATTGGAGAGAATGCAGGATGGGCTGAGGGGACACCCCCCCCCCCAGTGCATGAAATTCATGCACTGGGCCTCTAGTATTAACAGATTAAAGGGTAAGAGCATATGATAATTTCAATGGATTGGTGGTTCTTTTTGACCTCCAGATAGTTGACAATGTCTGGAGACATTTTTGGTTGTCACAGCTGGGGTACTTGGAGTTGCTACTAGCACCCACTGGATAGAGACCAGAAATGCTGTTAAACACCCTACTATGTACAGGGCAGGCTTCAATTGAATATCAACATTTGATATTCTACTTAACCTCTCAACATTATGTTTGTAATATCTATAGGCATTGCTATAAGGTTCATACACCTATTTGTTGGGTCTTGCTACATAATATTCCACAGTAAGCATCTACTGTTTCTTATTCATCCCTTGGTGATAAATACCTTAATTGCTTCTAATTACAATCCACTGCACATAACACTGCCATACAATGAACAGCCATGTAAATGCTCCCTCATGGATCTTTTTAAGAACTTTTCTGGGATACATATTCAGAAATGGAAGCACTAGTTCATACATATCCTTAACTTTGATAAATATTTTCCATGTGCTTTCTGGAATGGCTGAAACAGTTTAAATACTGTGCAGAAAAGAGTTAACATATCAGGCCTGAAGCTGCTATCCTTAGAAAGATCTGTTAGAAATGTTGGCCTTCACTGGCATCTTGGAATTTGGATCTCAAGAGGCTTCTGACTATTCCCTGGCAATAGTGGCTCACTATGCTTAAACTGTTTATGTAAACAATGTGGTTTATACTGAATGCCCCCTTTCCTTCTGGGAGTCTAGAATTTGCCTATATGCTAGGCAAAGGGTGTCTGTGACCAGACACCTTAGTGCTTACGTACTAAGACCCTAATGAATTTCCCTGGTAGAGAATAATTCATATGTATTGTCACAACTTATTGCAAGGGGAGGGAATTAAGTGCATTTTAGGTGACCTACTCAGAGAAGACTCTTGAAAACTTGAGCATGGTTTTGTCCAGACATTACTCATGGTGCCTTTTCCTTTTGCTGATATTGCTTTGTATCCTTTAGCTAAATAAATTATAACCATGAGTATAACTATATGTTGAGTCCTGCAAGTCCCTCTAGCAAACAACCAAATTACATATCCATGAGTAAAGCAGTATTTTTCAAGAAGACTTACTTTTAGCTACACACTTTTTATGTGCCACTTGAAATTTGTATCATGTGCACATGTTATCTCTTTAAAAAATAAATACTTTATAAAATGGGAGAAGAGAGTTGTGAAAAAAACTTTGTCAGCTATGAATAAGACCCAAGAGAACCACAGGGATATAGAGTGAAAATATCCTATATAATAAAAGGCTAAGATGCAAATAGACCAAACCGTAGAACAACTGGTTGCTATGATACACACTGACCACCAGGGGGCAGGTGCTCAGTGAAGGAGCTGCTCCCTGGTGATCAGTGCGCTCCCAGAGGGGGAACGCTGATCAGCCAGACACCACGCACATGGCTGATTAGTACAGTGGGAGTGGCAGGAGCCTCTCATGCCTCCGTGGCAGCGTTAAGGACCCTTTGGAAAATGTCCGACTGCCATGGGGAGTGGGCTTAAGTCAGCAAGAAGACAACCCCCAAGGGGTCCCAGACTGTGAGAGGGCGCAGGCTGGGCTGAAGGACCCCTATCCCCAGTGAATGAATGTTGTGCACCAAGCCTCTAATATATATATAATTGATTTCAGAGAGGAAGGTAGATGGAGAGAGAGAAAGAAACATCAATGATGAGAATCACAGATCAGCTGCCTCCTGCATGCCCACACTGGGGATCAAGCCTGCAACCCGGGCATGTGCCCTTGGTTTGAATCAAACCTAAGATCCTCTAGTCCTCAGGCTGATGCTCTATCCACTTAGCCAAACCAGCTAGGGCTAGAATGAACCTTCTTATATTCCAGATGAGGAAGCCCAAAGAAGGTCATGGACTTATCCAAAGTTAGCCAGACAGTTATTATAGACACAGGACTCAAATCCTCATTTTTCCTTTATCCTAGTGCTCCTTTCTCTAAGCCACATGGCCTCTTTTCCTACACATATCATTTCTACCCTAGTTCTTTCCCCTAAATGCCTCACAGAGACCTATTTTCATGATGGCCATGGGCTCTCCTATTACTCAGATCCCTGAATTCTCCATGTAGTGAATAATTTCAAAGACCTTCCAAAACACCAGGTCGCACAGAAACTGAACCCAACAGAAAAAAAAAAAAAAGAAAAAAAAAAAGCTGAGGAAAAATCTTCCTGGTAACTCTCTGAAGGAAAGAGAAAAGAGAGGGGGAATGTAAAGTGAGAGAGTCCTAGTTCAAATTACAGTACCTTCCTAAGTCCTCATGCACTGGCAAAGTTATCAACATTGTAGTCAGAGAAGAATCCATCCACTACAAGACAAACCACCTGAGCAGGACCAGGGAGCTCAGACACTCCTTCCAATGCTTCTTTTTTTTATAACTTTTTCTTTTTTTTTATTGAGTTTGTTGGGGTGGCATTGGTTAATAAAATTATACCAGAAATGATATAGGCTTCAGGGGTACAATTCTATAATACATCATCTGTATATTGTATTTTGTGTTTACCAACCCAAGTAAAGTATCCTTCCATCCCCATTTATCTCCCCTTTACCCTCCTATACTCCCTCCACCCGCTTCCTTCTGGTAATAACCATACTGTTTTCTCTGTCCATGACTCTTCCTTTTTTAACCTCTCTTAAAACCCTCCCCAAAGAGAAAGATACTTACATGTTCCAGGAAGCAGGGTCCTATCTCACTGAGGTGGGGGTCATCATTGTTGTACTGTTTCTCCAGGTCTCTCACAAAGCCCATCTGAAACCTGTAGATGTCTTCAATGTTCCCAAAGATGATCTTCAATTGCTCATCACTGAACATGTCCCTTCTCTTTCGGCATTGCTTCAGGTAGCCCTGCGGACAAAAAAAAAGAGCCCAGTCTGAGGATATCCCTGGTTCCTTGAAAGTTTTACAACTTCTTAAATAGTTGGAGCCTCAATTCAATCCCATGAGGGAGATAGGAAATAATCCTATATAATAAAACCCTAATATGCAAATTGACCGGACTGTGGAACGACTGGTCACGATAATGTGCACTAAACACCAGGGGGCAGATGTTCAACGTAGGAGCTACCCCCTGGTGGTCAGTGTGCTCCCACAGGGAGAGTGCCGCTCAGCCAGAAGCTGGGCTCATGGCTGGCGAGTGCAGCGGTGATGTTAGTAGCCTCTCCTGCCTCTGCTACAGGCAGGTGATAAGGAGACAAGGGTCCTGGACTGCGAGAGCTGCAGACTGTGCAAGGGATGTTTGACTGCTGGGGGATTGGGCCTAAGCTGGCAGTCAGACATCCCCTGAGGGGTCCTGGACTGCGAAAGGGCATAGGGACCCTCTCTCCCCCACTGAGTGCACTGGGCCTCTGGTCATTTATATTTTTCATATGAGAAAATTAAGGTTTAGAGAAGGAAGCCACTCCACCAGTGAAAAATTAGAAAAGTTGGATCTCAAGCAGTCTTCAGCATGCAAAGACTTGAGTATAGAGCTTTGCCTGCAATTCTCTATGACAAAGACCCCCAAAGGATCATTTCTTAGAAGCTGGTTAAGCATAAACATTTTCATTAATTTTAGTAGTTATTGATTTAGTTGGATATATTCCTATCTCTAAAGTTCTTTCTTTTAGGACCAATTCAAAAGATCTTCATAACATCTACAACAATTTGGCAACAGACACCCCAGCAAGAAACTTCCTAAGAGGGAACAGGAATTGACAAAACCAAACCATTTCTTAAAGCAATATCTTAGCCATCTAAGGTAGCTGGCCTGGAGAAAGAGTTTGGATGAGCTCAGTCAACAAGCCCACCGGTGTCCAGGCATGGTGTTTTTAACAGAGTAAATGTTCAGGACACATTTGTGAATAATCAGAGTATTCAATACAGCTAGCCATTGATGAAAGAGAAGATCAATGAAATATTCTTGGTCTAATAAGAAAGTGCTGAAATAACACAATCAGTCTCAGGCACACTGTAAGTCATAGGGAGGAAAAATAAAACAACCACAGTTTTCCATTTTAAACTTACAGATTTTTAACTAATGGCCACTGTCCCTATTAGAAATCATCAGCACATGAAAATATTCTTGGTGAGAATGAACTATGGTCACTTGCTTTCATATAAAAACTAAATGTGAGCCCAGCCGGCATGGCTCAGTGGTTAAACTTTGGCTTATGAGCCAGGAGGTCATGATTCGATGCCCAGTCAGGGCACATGCACAAGTTGTGGGCTTGATCCCCAGTGTGGGGCATGCAGGATTCTCTCTCATCTTTCTCTCCTTCTCCCTTCCTCCCTGAAATCAATAAAAATCTATTTTAAAAAAATAATAAAAGCTAAATGTGATTTTTATACTTTTTGTAAGTGTTGAACCCCTAATGAAGAGCATTGTAGTGACTGATTTACCACGTCCAGGCCTATCTCTACCTTCACTTTGTCTCCCCTAACACAGCTTCCAATCAGGTCATCTAGGCATAGTCCAGGAGGATCCTCTTCCCTGACTTAATGGCCTTTACCAACCTCTACCATAATCTCACTTCCCTTATCTCTTCTAACAATCCCAATCAGCCATTAATTATTAAGTATATTTCAACAGTTATACAAATTAATAGTCTGTGCCTGTGTTGACATTTATTTTACTAATGGCAGCTGCCTTAATTGATTGAAATGTCCAAGATATTGTGTATTCATTTATATCCAATTCTTGACCAGTAAGAACAAACCACCTATTCCAAAAATACTTTTAGCTTCACTACTTTTACTGAAACAACTCCCAAAATTCCGCCTCCTTGACTAACAGGAAGATCAGTAACTCCCAGTGTTTGCTTGCCTCTTTCTTGCCTCTTCCTCCCTCTCCCTTTCCCTTTCTCACCCTATCATATTTGGAAGTATCTTAGCTACAGTAAAGCAGGGAAAGTAGTATGCATATCATCAAGTAGGAACTTTTCTATCTTAACATCAGGCAACTGGGCAGAGATTTCCTCACCCTGCTCCCACTTCTCCCTAAGGTAGGTGTGTGAACACAGTTGAAAAAACTGCTAACAATGTCACAGCATGCAATGTCAAGTAAGTACAGATATCAGTCAGTGACCATATTGGAACAATATAAGAAGCCACTAGGACAGCTCATTTATCCTTAGAAGACAGTTTAGGAAGTATTTAATAGTTCTTTTCATTGCTCCCATTTAAAAGGACTCAGGGAAAGAATAATTATCAAACCCCCGAAGCACAACAAGGATAGTAGATCTCAACATCAGTATGCAATATAACAGAAATGAAAAATAAAAAAAGTGGGTTCCGGAAAAGAAAGAACAGATAGAGATGTCAGTAAATTCCTAATTCCTCAAATATGCTATTCATTGCCATTGTCAAGGTGACATTTTCTTTCTATTACATCATATGTGTTGTAGCATGTAAAAATTAAGCTATGTATTAGAAGAAATGTAACTGCCCATTGCATGGCGAGACATTAGAGTGCTTTGTAAACTGTTTTTCTTTAAAGCTAATGCTGATTATAAATACATTCTGGTCTATTTAACTTGATGGAGTATCATGTAGCCATTAAAATGATTATGAAGATTATCTAGAAATATGGAGAAGTGCTTATGATATAAGGTTAAAAAGCAGGACACAGCCGAAACCGGTTTGGCTCAGTGGTTAGAGCGTTGGCCTGCAGACTGAAAGGTCCCAGGTTCAATTCCGGACAACGGCATGTACATTGGTTGGGGGCACATCCCCAGTAGGGGGTGTGCAGGAGGCAGCTGGTCGATGTTTCTCTCTCATCGATGTTTCTAGCTCTCTGTCCCTCTTTCTCTCTCTTCCTCTCTGTAAAAAATCAATAAAATATATTTTTTTAAAAAAGCAGAACACAAAACGGTATGTCACTATGATTATGACTCTGTAAATACATATACATATTTGAAGGAATTACACAGAACAAGAGAAAGTAAGATCCAGACAGCACTTAAAAAAGCAACTCTTCTAATCCCCTTATTTTAGAGTTGGGGAACAAGGCCCAGGAGGGAGAAGATTCACTTGATGTTCCTCAGTGATTGAGACCTGAATAGGGACTTCCAATTCTGAATCTGATGTTCTTTCTGATAAACCATATTTCTTCTCTCAGCTTTTGGGTCCGCACATGTGTCAAACACAAGACCCGCGGGCCAAATCCGTCCCGCCAGGCCTTGCAATGTGGCCCGCACCGCGCTGTCATCACTGCACTCCGCTGCGTTTCCATCACAATGACAGTTTATGACTGTTCAGTAAACCATTCGGCCCGCGATTTAGGCTGGATTTTAGATTTTGGCCCCTTCTCTGATTGAGTTCGACACCCCTAGGTTAGAGGTAACAAATCCTGAGCTAAAATACTCTCTTCTGGTCCAGACAACTTTCTCCGCCCTTCTTTTGCTCTAGTGCAGTGGTTGGCAAACCACAGCTTGTGAGCCACATGTAGCTCTTTGGTCCTGTGAATGTTCTTACGCCACTTCTTCAAAATAGACTCGCCCAGGCCGAAAACTGACTTCTGTGCATGGGCCAAAAGCACATGGTATTTTGTGGAAGAGACACACTCAAGGGGCCAAAACCATGGCTTGCAAGCTCATGTGGCTGGTGAGCCACGGTTTGCTGACCACTGCTCTAGTTAAATCTTAACAGCATGGATGAACCTAGAGGATAGTATGTCAAGTGAAGTAAGTCAGTCACAGAAAAACAAATATCACATTTCACTTATTTGTGGAACCTAAAGAACAAAATAAATGAACAAACAGAACATAAACTGATTTTTAAATATAGAGATTAGACTAATGGTTGCCAAAAGGAGAAAGGGTTAGAGGATTGGATGAAAAAAAGTGAAGGCATTGAGAACTACAGATTAGTAGTTACAAAATTGTTATGGGGATGTAAAGTAGAGCATAGGAAATATAGTGAACAATATTGTGATAAGTATGGTGCAAATTGGGAACTAGGAATATCTGGGGAACACTTTGTAAATTATTATCTAACCTCTATGCTTTACACCTGAAACTAAGATTACATAATATTGAATGTGAACTGTAGTTTAAAATATTAAAAAATTTAAAAGGACTTCCTTTGATACCTACAATTGCAAGATAGGACAAACAGATATTTCCCACTTAAACTCTTAACTTTAGCACCAAGTATATTTAAGAAATACAAAACCGGCAGATTGCCAACTAAAGCTTCACATGGGTTGGCTAGATAAACAATGCAATCTAAAAACGGGCAAAGGACCTAAATAGAGACTTTTCAATGTGGATATATGGAAGGCCAAGAGGCATATGAAAAAAAAAATCCTCAATGTCACTAATTATCGAATAGATGTAAATCAAAACTACTATGAGGTACCATCTCACACCTATCAGAATGGCTATCATCAACAAACAAAAAGTGCTGAATTTTTAAAAATACCCATGAACAAATAGTAGAGAAAAGGTAACCTTTATACACTATTGATGGGAATGCAGACTGGTGCAGCCTCTGTGGAAAACAGTGTGGTGTTTCCTCAAAAAAAAAAAAAAAACCAATTAAAAATGGAACTCCCATTTAATCCAGTAATCCCACTTCTAGGAATATATCCCAAGATCTCAGAAACACCAATCAGAAATGGCATATGCACCCCTATGTTCATAGCAGTACAATTTACAATAGCTAAAATTTGGAAACAACCTAATTGCCCATCAGCAGATGAGTAGATTAAAAAACAGTGCTGCATCTACACAATGAAATACTACACTGCTATAAAAAATAAAGAACTCTTACTCTAAACAACAGCATGAATGGACCTTGAGAGCATTATGCTAAGCAAAATATGTCAGTCAGAGAAGGTTAAGTATCACATGATCCCAGTCATTTTTGGATTATAATGAAAAATATAAACTGAATCCAGAGACATAGAAGCATGGAACAGACCATTAAACATTATAGGGAAGACAGGGGAGTGTGGGCTGGGGGGATGGGTGGGGGGTAAGAGATCAACCAAATAACTTGTATGCATATAAGCATAATCAATGGACACAGACAATTGGGAGGGGGGGGTGTAGGTCGGGTTGATGGGTAGGAGCAGGCTGGGAGAGGACAATAGGGGGGAGAGGATATATATCATACTTTCAATAATAAAGAATTTTTTAAAATACCCATGAAGAAAGAGAGAGAGAGAGAGAGAGAGAGAGAGAGAGAGAGAGAGAGAGAGACAGACTTAGAAGCCCCAAAGAATCAGTTCCTTATGAACAAAATTTAGGAAGCCAGTCAAGGTGCTCTTTCCAACATCTTTAACTGTTACAGGTAGGGCCCAGGGAGTTGTATCTTCATGTAAGTGTACTTTATTTCACCCTACGTGCCACCACAAGCACTACCAAAGCTGGACCTACCTCACAAATGTCCTTGAGATGCTTGATATAATGACGCTCAGTACTCATGATTTCATTGATGACATTGGCCCGCATCTGATCTCGGTTCTGTAGTGGCCGGCCCAGACAGAGGCAGTCTGAGTTGGGGTCCAGGTGCCCATTCTGCACATCACTGGGCCCTTCCTCTACCCCATCCTCTTGGTTCACCCAGAGCTGTGGAAAAAGGCAGAGAAAGAAAGGATTAACTTCTCTCTTTGAGAAGTTTTCAAACAAGTAGAAAAAGGATAAACTATTGTAAATTCTTCAGGTATTCAGAGAGCCTTCAGAGGCCCCTGTAAACTGCATGCCAGGCCTTGCTCCAGCGTAACTTGTAGACCCTAGGAATGAGTCTAATTTTCTCTTGGCCTCTGGTGACCTATCATCTATAAAATGAAAGATGGGAAATCATCTTCAGAGACATCTTAGCTAAAGTGGTTTCAAAGGAGAGAAGAGCAATGACAAACAGAACGCATTCATATTGGGGCATATTAAGGAGAGTAGTTGGATAAAAATTTAAAAAAAAAGAATTAAGCTATACATATGAGGTGCCATGGCTGAATTATTGTTAAAAACAATACCTATGAGTATGGAGATCAAAGTTAGAAACTAGAGTGGGCATATCTAAACCAGTGCTTTTGGTGTTAATTTCCCTCAATGCCTGTACATATAATCATTAAAATTTTACTGTAAGATTATTTGGATATGCAAATATCTGTACTTCCTCAAGGTTGGAGTGGAGATATAATAATGTCTTTGTACCACATAATAGCAACATCTGTTTATTGATCACTTAGTATATATCAGCCCCTGTGTTGAGTTTTCAGTGAACTGTATTATCCAGTTCTGCTAGGCAGGTACAATTATTATCACCATTTCACAGAAGAGGAAACTGAGCCTTAAAAAGTTAGGGATTTCATCCCAAGTCACAAAGTTAAGAAGCAGAAGAGCTGGGATAGAAGCCAGGCAGTCTGGATTCAGAGTTTTTACTCTTAACTACTATACTAGCTCCTTTTGCCTTAATTTTAAGAGAGACAGAAAAGGAATAGAGAAGGGATTGGGACAAGGTGAGCTTAGAAATATTAGACAAGTCAAAACTGGATACAATTAGTAGATGTTCAAACTATCCATTCCAAATCATGAAGCAAAGGGATGCAGAAAAAAAAAAACTGTTGTGGGGAGGATCCAAGATGGCTGCCCACGGGACTGCAGGCTACAAGATAGTGTGAGAGTGTGAAAATGAAAGAAGAGTGCTTTGTTGACGTGCTGGGAGTATCAGTATTTGTGAGTGAGGGACAGCTATATTCCAGAGGACTTTTGGGGAATGGCGGACTGCCCCCCACCCCTGACCAGTTAGCCTCTACTGCAGCTGAAATCTCTCTCGGAGTGACTGGCTCTGCCTCAGAGGCCATGCCATCTTGAAGGGGAGATGGCTGTGTTCCAGAGACTGACTGTGATCAGAACCCCAGCCTTACCTTGAACTGGGTAGATCTCTGCTACCTCTTGGGACCTTACAACCACAAAGCCCAGGGACTAGTTACCTCAGCTGTGAATCTATGAATGCTGGAACTCCAACCTCCATGACCACAGGTGCCTGGAAGGTCTGCTCAGAGGGAGACAGAGAGCACAAATTTGGGGACAGGCCCTGTGCCTTCTCAGAGAGCAGAAGGAACAGCTGAATCAAAGAGCTCACTAGGAACTGGTGAAATAAACACAGCTGGCAATCCGCAGACGAAAAGGTCAGATGTTGCCTAGAGAAAGGTGAGATCTGGAATCCAGGCTGGAGGGAGAAACACGCACAGTGGGAACTGGAGACTTAGAGGAAGACTGTCCCCTACAAAATAGACAACCGCTGGTGTCAGTGTAGCCATCGAATGTGCAAGGGGGTCCACAGGGATGCTGGCAGAAGCGGATTCTAGATATTAACCCACAGCTGGCCTGGACACAGAAAGGCAGCCTGAAATTCTGTATTGGCTGCACAGAGCCAGGGGGAAAAGATACACACAGAGTCACACGCAGAGTCCAACTCTGAGCAAGGGTAGAGAGGCCTTTTAGTCCTGGATATTAAGATAGAAACACTGCCACCCAGGGGCTGTATCAGAAATAGACTTATGTGCGTAAATAAAACTAAAGGCACGCTGAGAAACAAAGAGCAGAGAGATCCTGCCTGCCTGAAAACAAGGTTGTGACACAGAGGAGTGGTGGATCGCAGGAAACTTCAATGCTGTGCTGACTACATTCAAGTAAACAGACATGCCATGCAGAACAGTGGAAGAAGTGAATGATCTTCACAACTTCACATTTTTATTTTTTATTTTTTACTTAAGAAACTAATTTTTTCCTCACTTGATTTTACCTTGTTTTTTTATTGTATTTACTAGAGGCCCATTGCACAAAATTCATGCATGAGGGGAGGGGGGTTCCTCAGCCAGGCCTGCACTCTCTCCAATCCGGGAACCCTCCAAGGATGCCCTACTGCCAGTTTACAGGGGTCAGGCCTAAACCAGCAGTCAGACATCCCTGTCAATCAGACTGCTCACCTGCCTGCCTGCCTCATTCCCCTAATCACTCCGCCTGCCAGCCAACTCACCCCCAACTGACCCTCACCACCTGCCTGCTTGCCCCCAAATGCCCCACCACCAGCCTATCACCCCCAACTGCTGGACTGCTTGCCCCCATCTTTCCTCCCCACTGGCCTGCTTACCCTAACTGCCCCCCTGCTGGCCTGCTCACTCCAAACTGCCTCCCCTCACTGTCCTGCTCACCCCAATAGGACCCCTTGCTGTCTGGTTACCCCCAATGGCACCCGCCATCCCATCCTGTCCTGATCACCACCTGGCGACCCAAGGTCCCAGCCCCACCTTTTTTTATTTTCTTTTTTTTTCAGCACCTCCTTGAGTAGAGGCCAGAGCCAGCTGGAAGCAAGTTTGTAGGATTTATATATCTTGTATAATTGAAGCTTTGTAGACTTGAGCAGAGGCCAGGGTGGCCAGGGCGGGTGGGGAGCTTGGCTTCCTCCATCGCTGGAGCAACCCAAGCCTCCTACTTGCTCCAGCTCTGTGATTGCCTCATTAAAATGCCCATACTGCCAAAACTGGTTTGGCTCAGTGGATAGAGCGTCGGCCTGCCGACTGAAGGGTCCTGGGTTCAATTCCGGTCAAGGGCATGTACCTTGGTTGCGGGCATATCCCAGGTAGGAGGTGCAAGAGGCAGCTGATCGATGATTCTCTCTCATCAATGTTTCTAACTATCTATCCCTCTCTCTTCCTCTCTGTAAAAAATCAATAAAATATATATTTTTTAAATGTCCATACTACTCAAAGCAATCTATAGAGTCAATGCACTTCCCATTAAAATACCAATGGCATATTTCACAGACCTAGAACAAACTCTCCAAAAATTCATCTGGAATAAAAGACAACCCTGAATAGCCACAGCAATCCTGAGAAAGAAGAATAAAGTAGGAGGGATCTCAATACCAGATTTCAAGCTGTATTACAAAGCCACTGTTCTGAAAACAGCCTGGTACTCGCACAAGAACAGACACATATTGTAGATCATTGGAATAGAATAGAGAATCCAGATATCAACCCAAACCACTATGCTCAATTAATATTTGACAAAGAAGACATGAGCATACAATGGAGTCAAGACAGTCTCTTCAATAAATGGTGTTGGGAAAATTGAACAGATACATGTAAAAAAATGAAACTAGATCACCAACTTACACCATACACAAAAATAAATTTAAAATGGTTATAGGACTTAAACATAAGACAGGAAACCATAATAATACTAGAGGCATCCAGAGGCATCAAAATCTCAGACATATGCCAAAACAACTTCTTCATTGATACTGCCCTTAGGGCAATGGAAGCTAAAGAGAAAATAAACAAATGGTACTACATTGAGATAAAAAGCTTTTTTATAGCAAAAGAAACCATCAACAAAACAACAAGAAAGCCCACTGCGTGGAAGAACATATTTGCAAATGTTATCACTGATAAAGGTTTACTCTCCAACATCTACAGGCACCTTATACAACTTAATAAAAGGAAGATAAATGATCAAATAAAAAACTGCGCAATGGACCTAAATAGAATCTTTTTGAAAGAAGACAGAAGGCCAAGAGACACATGAAACATGCTCAAAACAGCCTCTTTAATAAATGGTGTTGGAAAATTTGGTCAGATACATGTAAAAAAAAAAAAAAAAAAGAAAGAAAGAAAAAAGAAAGAAAGAAAGAAACAGAAAAAGAACCAGATCACTAACTTTCACCATACACAAAACAAACTCAAAATTGCTAAAGGACTTAAATATATATAAGACTATATATAAGACAGGAAACCATAAAAATCCTATAAGACTCAATAGGAAGTAAAATAACAGGCATATGTCATAGCATTATTTGTGCAGACACAGCTCCTAGGGCAATGGAGACTAAGAAGAAAAACAAATGGGACTACATCAGAATAAAAAGCTTCTGCCCAGCAAAAGAAATCATCAACAAATATACAAGAAAGCCCACTGTATAGGAGAACATATTTGCCAATGATATTTCTTATAAGGGTTTAATCTGCAAAATTTACAGAGAACTCATACAACTTAACAAAAGGAAGATAAATAGCCGAAACCGGTTTGGCTCAATGGATAGAGCGTCGGCTTGGGGACTGAAGGGTCCCGGGTTCGATTCCGGTCAAGGGCATGTACCTTGGTTGCGGGCATATCTCCAGTAGGGAGTGTACGGGAGGCAGCTGATCGATGACTCTCTCTCATCGATGTTTCTAACTCTCTATCTCTCTCCCTTCCTCTCTGTACAAAATCAATAAAATATATTTTTTTTTAAAAAAGGAAGATAAATAATCCAATCAAAATCTAAATAGACACTTTTCAAAAGAGGACATAAAGAAAGCCCAGAGACATGAAAATATGCTCAAAGTCACTAATCATCTAAGAGATGCAAATAAAAATAACAATGAGATACCATCTCACACCTGTCAGAATGGCTATCATCAACAAATCAACAAATGACAAGTGCTGGCAAGGATGTGGAGAAAAAGGAACCCTCCTGCACTGCTGGTGGGAATGCAGACTGGTGCGGCCACTGTGGTAGACAGTATGAAGTTTCCTCAAAAAGATAAAAATAGAATTCCCATTTGACCCATTAATCCCACTTT